CGTCATCAGCTTGTGCGGTAGTTACGTTCGGACACTTTAGTCCCAGTACACTTGACGTTGGAATGCATCTGAAAATGTCTTGTAAACAAACTTTAGTACTCGCACTCTGTTCATTGCCTTCCGTGGAAGTTTTGTTCTTTTTTGCTAAATTTTCTTTTTCCTCTTTTCTCCTCAGGTTGGTGAACACCCATCTGCTGACTTGTCGGCTCTTTTGGCCACTATTGTAGACGTTCAACTCAAAGGTAATTGTCACAAAACTATTCATTGTTTTTGCTCTTTCTAACGAAAGGATTCACTGTATTTCTACTTCTACCAATCAAATACCACGTTCAGAGTTGTCACAACGTTGCCTACCTATATTTATCATTCGTTCTACTCATGTCATATGCTCTAGTCGATCCGCAGGAGAACTATTTCATACGCAAGACTGATCATGCTTTTCGAATTTCTAAAATTTGCCACCTACTATTCATCCTTTTCATAGCAAAACTTTATACTCTGTATGTAACGCATACTTGCTACCACTGTCATGTTTTTTTGTAAAATGCCTGACTTAGCCGTACAGCAGTTATACGTTTTTAGACAAACACTTAGGGGACTAACGGAAATTGAGTCAGACTGTCATCAATCCGGTCGATGATAGCTGATTTGAACACGGTACCAACGAGATAAAATCACCACGGTTTGTTTATTTTTGACTGATATATTGTGCCTCATGCTTACGCTTTTTGCCATGGAAGAGTAAAATGGTGGTGCAGGGTTATACTGGTCAATAATGGAACCTCAGATTGACTGGGACAATAATAATAGAGAAACAAAACAAGGTGTCTGCTAGCCGAATTACAGAGATTTACTCTGCTTGCGCATTTACCTCGAGCGATTTGTTGTCGGGTAAGATTAATCCGGTGTTTGTGGACTGAAATATCTATCCGGCATCGATCGCAAAGAAGTCCCTTGGCAACGGGGGATCGGAACGTGCATTGCAACAGATTTTCAATTCCGAGCAATTATTAAATGAAGAAAGTCAACAAGGAATGTTGATCTGTGGACCCTTCGCTAAACGAATAAAATACAGATTTCCAGAGTTAACCATTGTGCGCACAACGCAAATTGATTCGAGCTCTCAAACTCCCCTGGCCAAAGAAAGAGAAAATCGCTCGTTCACACGACCATGACGTAACGACTTTGGTTGCGTGGTCCAAAAAGCTCACAAATTTGGAGTTCTCTGGGGCTCATTGTCACACATGACTCATCCATTATCTGATTGCGAAGGCTTGAAAAGAAATTCAGCAAAAAGATATGTTCACCTACATTCTGTTTTCTTAACCACTGTTAATATTAGTAAAGTAGATAAACAGGATGAGGAGAGTGTCCAGCATCATACACAACAAAATTACGGAAGTTAAAACGTGTCCTAAAATAAGCTTTTCTAATAATTTAATTATAGAAAACTAAGCATCACCTGAACTGGAAAATTATATAGCGAAAAATTCTTTTTAGGTATAAACGGCATTGTTGATTGAATCTTGTAGGCGGATTTATTACATACATACATACATACAAGTTTTTACTGAATCAGCAAATTGACAATACCTATTATAGTTCCAATCCACGTGAAATCGAAAAAGTCCGGTCTGAATATGTTGACATTTCCACATTCAACGGCTTGGCCTGAGCGAACCTCAACTGTTTAGGAAACACTTGTTTTCCGCATTTCCTACCTCAAGGAGCAGGCACAGGATTGTCATTATAGTGCACGCTTTAGGGTCTTCCCCTACAGTAAATGTCACTCCACTGACCGGGTGTCTTACTGGAAGAGTTTAAAAAGTATCGGTGGACATTGTGGTCTCGGTGATGCAAAAAACAGTACACACAACTGGTATCCTCGGGGGTATTTTCAAAACTTTAACCGGATCATGGTAAATACCACACACACAACACCATGAGTAATCAAAACGAATGAAAAAAACTGAGAGTGATTCACCATATTTCGGACAAAATCAGCCTTGTCTTTATCCCCTTGTGGTACTGAACAGTAGGATTGTATAAGGAATAAATCAAAGTCACGTTTTTTCATTTCTGACTTACTATTTTTGCTGTTGGCTTCAGACGATTCGCCGTACGTGGTCTTGCGTTTATTGAAGCTTGTTTTTGCAGTTGTTTAATTTTCATATGGTAATTATGATGTGAATTAGCACTTTTGGTTCATACAAAAACTGACGTAGGTGTTTGTTTTCTTCATTACAAAAAAAGTTTATTTCAGCTAAAGAACGGGAAACATCCTTATGTACAGATGTCTGTCCGTGATACTTTGATCTTTCAGGATTTACTTCATGTTCTATTTCCTTCCCCCATCGTTGATGTTTGTGGTGACCTTTTACGATGTTTCATTATTTTGATTCCATTTACCTTATTATGAGTGAAATATAAGGTTGAATAAAAAATATAAATGTGAGGATAACGTTTACCGGTTTCAAATAAAAAATCGCGTCAGATGCCTCATTTGTTTCCATGCATCACCGTTTTTAATAAATTGGCTTCAACACACAGCTTGGTGTATTTGGAACAATCTGGAAATTATGCTCATTTTAATGTGTTTAATTTTCAAAGCTTAATATGAAACATGATTTGTCATTTTCATCTATTGTGGAAACGATTTAATCCTTGATTGTCATCAACAAAACACTCTGTCAAAAACAAAAGAGGGAATATCGTGTGTCACGTGACTCCTGATTCCATTGCCTTCGTAAGCTGCATTCCCGGAATGTATTTTCTTTCGCTAATTAAACCGATTGTTCTTAAATGCATGTCGAATCACACACATCCGGGTCTATTTAGCCTCATTCTTTGCCAGGGAAGGTTCTTGCCTACAAATGATCATCCATGTTCGGATATATCACACTAGAGTTACTTCGAACAATCCTCGCAAATAGTTGCTTGACAGATCAGAGTCTTGTGTTAAAATTGTGAAAAGTTCAGTATCCTACATGGGATTTTAACCCATGTACGAATGTCGCCTGCGCTTGGGTACAACGCACAGCCTCATAGCTGAGCTACGAGACCACACCGATAGCACTGTTCTTTCCGTGATCAATCGCTCCGTTATTGCACGAATGAGTTCCTTGATTTTTGGGAATTGGTCGACATAAAAATGTGCGATTCGCTATGTTCTAACATGAATCTGTTAATATTCAGTCATTGAAACTCCTTCGGAATGTTTTTTTCATTCTCAACTTTTTGATACATTTCAAGGACAATTTCGACGCCTAAACGGGCTTCTGATGTCCGCCATTTTGCCATCAACGGAACAATTCATCACTTATCAAGGATCCATACCATTCCCTGCATGTCATGAAACAGTCACTTGGATAGTGTTGAATCAAGCTGTGATAATCACCGAAGCTCAAGTAAGCAATTTGGAAAAAAACTAAACCGTTTTCTCTCGTTGAAAAGTGTCCCGTACCATTAGGAAAAATCGCGCCTTGCGGAAAAGCGTTTAAATGATATGCATGTATTTGAACAGTCAAAACAAACATTTTTAGTTGCTATAGCACAACATGGACACATGATCGGTGCAAATGCTTTTTTAGCTCATTCAACCTATTCTAGATCTCCATTGAGATATCAGTCCAAGCGGGAGGCTAATCGGACGAGACCATTCCATTTGGTGCAGATGTGAAATGAAGTTTTCCCTACCACATTCACATACGCCACTGATATATGCAATCTGGACAGGTTTTGAACGCTCTTTCCAGTTTTCTTTTGTGAACAGATGTGTTCCGTAAAGTGACAGATAAATTGGATGTATACATTACTGATAACCAGAGTGTACGCATTCGTTTTGTCTAATTAGTGTAGGATAGTCATGTTCCTTTTGCTTAAAGAGAAACTCCGATTATAGTGATGCGTTGCCAAGTTCCTTCTTCCAAATTTTCCTTCATTAGCTCAATTTCCTTCAAATATTATCATTTTCCTTTGAAATATGCCACTGCCAAAGAAACAACATGAAATGTATTGGGTTGAAAAGAACAATGTTCTGACCATAGTGAGGGGTCTACTGATTCACTTTTAAATTCTTTTAGTCGTTCGATTTGAAATTTTGAGCACTCTGTTTGAAAGCCAATTCTGTCAAACGAGTACATCACCAAAAACGATTATCGATCAGATGTCAGGAAGGAGATCGGTAGAAATCATTAAATATCAAGTCTAGCATGAATTCAATACATTGACTCCAATAGTTCATTGTTCCTTCCTCGCAAGATACTAACTAATCCCAAAGTCAAAGTTTTAACATGGGAATTAGTTACAAGTTCATGCTTCTCTTACTTCAATAGGTTATTTATACAATTGAATCGTTTCACGGCAAAAAAATCACACACAGTTCCAGTTGGGAAATAATAGAGAATGTAGGCATCAATGAACTTGCGTTTGCTTCAATAGTGTAGGGATGTGAGGTGTACCAAGGTTTCATCGAGCCTCCGCTTGAAATATTCAATAGTTGGCGCGCAAACAACGTTCCCAGTTGACAATACCTCATAACTAACAAACAAAATAAAGACAGGCTTAACCTAGCAATGATTTGACCGCTTAAACAGAAAATGAAACATTATGATTGTTTTATCACAGATGACGGAATGAAAATGTTTTCAAGTATCCAGTTTTTTAATTTTCAATTTGTGAAAATTATTCTGAGAAAAAACTAAACAATTGTGCATAATTTCAAATGGAGAATTAGGTAACCTTAATGTCTGAAACATGACATGTATCGTGTAAACAAGCCAGTGTTTGCTCGTGTTAGACTGTCATGATGAATAAATCATTGTTAGCCACGTTCTGTGTTCACGTTGAGAACAATATAAACGATTTTTTATCCGCTATCCAGTAATGATTGCACACATGTTCTCATCATAATCATAATCAGTGAATTTATGAGCGATGCATATATATCTCATTATAAGTAGTATGTGAATGGGTAAACAAAATCTCCCTGGAAGCACACGACCGGTTTCGCGGTCCTCGTCACTCGTCAGGCATGCGTATCTGGTAATTCAAACGTCACCCAGTGATGCAAACAAGGTTATTGTGTCGAAAATATACTTCCTAGGTACAAGTAT